GACATTGAGTTTCTCATTAACAGGTGAGTAAAATCAAAGTAACAAAGCGTACAACAGAAATCAACAGGACTACATGCAGGATTAGCAAGGTTGTTTTAGCTGACGATGACTGAGATAACTTCAAAGTGAGAGAATCCAGTCCAGTCCTGTCCAGTCTTGACCTGTCCGATTAAGACAGCTTCTTTTCAATAGCAAATTGGTTGGGGATCGGAGAAAAAGTCCAGTTTTAAACCAGTCAGATTTATACAGCTTCTTTTCAATAGCAAATTGGTTGGGGAACGGAGAAAAGTCCAGTTTTAAACCAGTCCGATTTATACAACTTCTTTTCAATAGCAAATTGGTTGGGGACCGGAGAAAAAGGTTCAGTTTGAAACCAGTCCAATCTGGCCCAGTCTGAGTTATACAGCTTCTTTTCAATAGCAAATTGGTTGGGGAACAGAGAAAAGTCCAGTTTTAAACCAGTCCGATTTATACAGCTTCTTTTCAATAGCAAATTGGTTGGGGAACGGAGAAAAGTCCAGTTTTAAACCAGTCCGATTTATACAGCTTCTTTTCAATAGCAAATTGGTTGGGGAACAGAGAAAAAGTCCAGTTTTAAACCAGTCCGATCTGGCCCAGTCTGAGTTATACAGCTTCTTTTCAATAGCAAATTGGTTGGGGAACGGAGAAAAGTCCAGTTTTAAACCAGTCCGATTTATACAGCTTCTTTTCAATAGCAAATTGGTTGGGGAACGGAGAAAAAGTCCAGTTTTAAACCAGTCCGATTTATACAGCTTCTTTTCAATAGCAAATTGGTTTGGGACCAGAGAAAAGGTTCAGTTTTAAACCAGTCCGATCTGGCCCAGTCCAATTTATACTGCTTCTTTTCAATAGTAAATTGGTTGGGGACCAGAGAAAAAGTCTGGTTTTAACCGAAATCAGAATCTGACAGAGTCTAATGTGGACAAATTTAACTGTTCTTTGAAATACATAAATATGCCTTGAATAGTTTCTTTGCAATGTTTTTTTTTGTGAAGAAAGCCTGTCTATATGCCTGAGAAGAATGATCTGTCAAGGTATTTGTAGGTAATAATTAATCAATGGAAGGGAGATGAGTGAGGGAGGGAGGGAGGGAGGCTTGCTTGCTTTCCTTTTAATGCTGACAATATTAAAAACATCCAAAGTGATGCAGGCCTCAGACGTTTACCACTTTGGTGAAACCCATTAGCACAGGTATGGTGCTGACAAACACAACATAACCGGGGCGAACTTGGATTCAAACCCAAGGGGTGAATATGTCCTCCTCTGCTTGCTATGCTAGTCATTCTAAATTATGACTTGCTTTAGGTGTACAGCACAGGTTTCAAACACATGTGGGGAATCATGGCAAACAAATGCTTGAACTGCTTGACACCTGAATTATAACAACATAATGTGTCAATCATTGGTGGCACTAAACCTGGGACCATATAACTACTTCCTAGCTTCATATCAATGATTGACTCAATCATATTTACAGCATCTAGGGCCATTATAAGTAAATACATAAATTGCAAGTGATTCTGTGGCATTTGCTCGGGTAACCAAGGAATTGTTTTTGAAAAGAAAATAAGCCACTCCCTCTATCAGACTACCATTTCCTGTTTGGCTGATAAAAGAGAGGGTGAACTTGTTGCATCATTGCACAAAACAATGTCTACAGTTTTCAAGTGTTAATAATTCTTAAATTATTAGTGTTGACATATTTAATAATAAAAATGAACTTCAATAGGTTTTTGCATTAAAATAAGTATAAATGTAAAAACCGGTGTGCTTTACATATTTACACAGTATGCACATTTTTGTCATGTTTTATACTTTCATAAATGCAAAAAATATTAAAATCATTTTTTAAATATTTTATTTGAATCGGATGAAGGTGGATTCAAAATAAATAAATGATAAAAATAGAGCACAAAATAATGGTCCCCTCTTTACAAAATTATTGTTTAGGGCATAGAAACTTTTACTGTGTTGACAGAAGCATTGTGTTATTCAAGAAAAGACAGGTATTTTCTAAAGTTCAAACATAATGATGATTTGATGCAATAAACTCAGTGGGGCTCAATTTCAGTGAAATTATTGGTCAATGTTCAGGCAACTTTTTATTTCTCAACTTGAAAAACTACAAGCAGGTTTCATTAATAAAATAATTATTGCAAAAACCTTTAACTACCTTTTATAAGTAACAGATATTTTTAGAAGAATTATGAATAAATTATCTGATATTTTCACAGGAAGAACTTTTTGTCCAGAAAAGGTTAGAATCATAATTCTAGCAGATCCATCGATATTTATTATATCTTCAAAGTCAGTATTTGCTCTCATTATTTAAATATTCCAAAAGGTATAGAAATTAACAAATTCATTTCATGAATTTTCACATTTTGATGTGATTAACAAGAACAAAAAGTTTCCTTTCTTTGGTCATGCGTGGAGTTTTGACCTTGAAGACGGGAACTTGACTTCCAGAGGATCAATCTTATCCCCGTTTTAATATGATTAGGTCCTCGCCATGGCGACACTTAATAGATCACTCACTAATGAACTTAGATAATTCAGTGGCCACGAAATTACTGGATTGGTGATAATGTCACACAGAGGGCTGAAGGGGGAGATGAGTTTGGGGGGGATTAGTTTCTGTGAAGATTTATTTCCATTTGGGAAAGGGCTAAAGGTACATACTGAAACATTAAGGATGTGGTGACGGCAGGCGCAGTTCTTACACTGGAAAGAAAATACACCATATTTCCATACTCTTCACTTCCAGAATGTTCTTTTCAAGAAATTACACTTGTTTCAAATTAAAGGTGACCTTACCTCACAAAATAATCTGGATACTAGATAGACATAATCTCAGGCCAGATAATCTGGATTCTAGATAGACATATCCTCAGGCCAGATAATCTGGATTCTAGATAGACATATCCTCAGGCCAGATAATCTGGATTCTAGATAGACATATCCTCAGGCAAGATAATTTGGATACTAGATAGACATATTCTCAGGCCAGATAATCTTGATTCTAGATAGACATATCCTCAGGCCAGATAATCTGGATTCTAGATAGACATATCCTCAGGCAAGATAATCTGGATACTAGATAGACATATCCTCAGGCCAGTGATCTTGATTCTAGATAGACATATCCTCAGGCAAGATAATCTGGATACTAGATAGACATATCCTCAGGCCAGATAATCTGGATACTAGCTAGACATATCCTCAGGCCAGATAATCTTGATACTAGATAGACATATCCTCAGGCCAGATAATCTTGATACTAGATAGACATATCCTCAGGCCAGATAATGATAAAGTACAACTGGCGGGACATATTCTCACTATCCTGCTGATATAAAGTACAACCTGATGGACATATTCTCAACTTTCCATTCTCCCTTCTAGCATCCCATTCTCACTTCTAGCAACACATTCTCACTTCCAGCATCACATTCTAACTTCTAGCAACACATTCTCACTTCTAGCATCCCATTCTCACTTCTAGCAACACATTCTCACTTCTAGCATCCCATTCTCACTTCTAGCAACACATTCTCACTTCTAGCAACACATTCTCACTTCTAGCATCCCATTCTAACTTCTAGCAACACATTCTAACTTCTAGCAACACATTCTCACTTCTAGCATCACATTCTCACTTCTAGCATCACATTCTTACTTCTAGCATCACATTCTCACTTCTAGCAACACATTCTTACTTCTAGCATCACATTCTCACTTCTAGCAACACATTCTCACTTCCAGCAACACATTCCTACTTCTAGCATCACATTCTCACTTCTAGCAACACATTCCTACTTCTAGCATCATATTCTCACTTCTAGCATCACATTCTCACTTCTAGCATCACATTCTCACTTCCAGCATCACATTCTCACTTCTAGCAACACATTCTCACTTCTAGCAACACATACCTACTTCTAGCATCACATTCTCACTTCTAGCATCACATTCTCACCAACACAACCAACCAGGTGGCATTGTGGTCTGTATACTGCAGCCAGGACACAATGACACAAACAACCAGGTGACACTGTGGTCTGTATACTTGAGGCAGAACACAATGACACAACCAACCAGGTGACACTGTGGTCTGTATACTTGAGCCAGCACACAACCAGCCAGGTGACACTGTGGTCTGTATACTTGAGCCAGGACACAACCAACCAGGTGACATTGGGTCTGTATACTTGAGCCAGCACAAAACCAACCAGGTGACACTGTGGTCTGTATACTTGAGCCAGCACAAAACCAACCAGGTGACACTGTGGTCTGTATACTTGAGCCAGCACACAACCAGCCAAGTGACACTGTGGTCTGTATACTTGAGCCAGGACACTATCACACAACCAACCAGGTGACACTGTGGTCTGTATACTTGAGCAAGGACACAACCAACCAGGTGACACTGTGGTCTATATACTTGAGCCAGGACACAACCAACCAGCTGACACTGTGGTCTGTATACTTGAGCCAGCAAACAACCAACCAGGTGACACTGTGGTCTATATACTTGAGCCAGGACACAACCAACCAGGTGACACTGTGGTCTGTATACTTGAGCCAGGACACAACCAACCAGGTGACACTATGGTCTGTATACTTGAGCCAGCAAACAACCAACCAGGTGACACTATGGTCTGTATACTTGAGCCAGGACACAACCAACCAGGTGACACTGTGGTCTGTATACTTGAGCCAGGACACAACCAACCAGGTGACACTGTTGTCTGTATACTTGAGCCAGGACACTATGACACAACCAACCAAGTGACACTGTGGTCTGTATACTTGAGCCAGGACACAACCAGCCAGGTGACACTGTGGTCTGTATACTTGAGCCAGGACACAACCAGCAAGGTGACACTGTGGTCTGTATACTTGAGCCAGCACACAACCAACCAGGTGACACTGTGGTCTGTATACTTGAGCCAGGACACAACCAACCAGGTGACACTATGGTCTGTATACTTGAGCCAGGACACAACCAACCAGGTGACACTGTGGTCTGTATACTTGAGCCAGGACACAACCAACCAGGTGACACTGTGGTCTGTATACTTGAGCCAGGACACAACCAGCCAGGTGACACTGTGGTCTGTATACTTGAGCCAGGACACAACCAGCAAGGTGACACTGTGGTCTGTATACTTGAGCCAGCACACAACCAACCAGGTGACACTGTGGTCTGTATACTTGAGCCAGGACACAACCAACCAGGTGACACTATGGTCTATATACTTGAGCCAGGACACAACCAGCAAGGTGACACTGTGGTCTGTATACTTGAGCCAGCAAACAACCAACCAGGTGACACTATGGTCTGTATACTTGAGCCAGGACACAACCAACCAGGTGACACTGTGGTCTGTATACTTGAGCCAGGACACAACCAACCAGGTGACACTGTTGTCTGTATACTTGAGCCAGGACACTATGACACAACCAACCAAGTGACACTGTGGTCTGTATACTTGAGCCAGGACACAACCAGCCAGGTGACACTGTGGTCTGTATACTTGAGCCAGGACACAACCAGCAAGGTGACACTGTGGTCTGTATACTTGAGCCAGCACACAACCAACCAGGTGACACTGTGGTCTGTATACTTGAGCCAGGACACAACCAGCCAGGTGACACTGTGGTCTATATACTTGAGCCAGGACACAACCAACCAGGTGACACTGTGGTCTGTATACTTGAGCCAGGACACAACCAACCAGGTGACACTGTGGTCTGTATACTTGAGCCAGGACACAACCAACCAGGTGACACTGTGGTCTGTATACTTGAGCCAGGACACAACCAACCAGGTGACACTGTGGTCTGTATACGTGAGCCAGGACACAACCAACCAGGTGACACTGTGGTCTGTATACTTGAGCCAGGACACAACCAACCAGGTGACACTGTGGTCTGTATACTTGAGCCAGCACACAACCAGCCAGGTGACACTGTGGTCTATATACTTGAGCCAGGACACAATGACACAACCAACCAGGTGACACTGTGGTCTGTATACTTGAGCCAGCACACAACCAACCAGGTGACACGGTGGAGATGCGATACACTAATCAATGATGCATTTTCATAAAAGGTTAATAAATTGGAACAATTCCTTTTGAAATATAAATTTATATTTGTCATAATGATATAGTACAAATCTTTTGCAGGATCACAACAGCAAACAACATTAGACTTGATAGGAGTGAGTTAAAGACCATTAAAGGGAGGTTTGCTCAGGCTTGTTTGCCAGCCATGCAGGTTTGAGTCACGTCCCTAAAAAGCACCACTACTACTTCATGACGTATGTAAAAAAAAAACATCTCTCGAAAGAAATGTTCATTGCATACTCTTAACATTGAACAGGGAATAAACACACCAATATTAAACAACATGGAGTTTGTAAATTATGCAATAAACAGGCAGTAGAAGATATATCTACCATTTTTACTTTGTATGTCCAGTGTATCAGTACTTGCGTATTGAATATGTATCATCCAAAACTGGCTCCCACAGGAGATATCGCTTGGGTGAGGTCAAGTAATATCTACATTGTATATATCGCTGCAATGAAATGTTTTGTAGACCATTGTGACGTCATTGTTTACCATGATGTCACAATCAAATGACATCACTAGTGGCTCCACTACTGAAGCTGTTAGCGGTACTTTTTACACTTAAGACACTGCTTGTTTACTGTCTACAAACTGAAAAAGTTGGAAGAATGATGTTGGACGATAAATAGAATCTCACCCTTGTGTCTTTTGACATCAAATACATCAACACTTGTTGATAAAAGTTTAAAACTCCTCGGCAAGCCTCTGAGTTTTAAACTTTTATCGACCCGTGGAGATATATTTGATATCAAAAGGCACTCTGGTGAGATTCTCCATTTATCGCCATTTATGTACCAGCCACCAATATTTTCAAGGTGATTGTTCTAAAAATGTGTTACATCATGTGTATTTCATGCAATAAACAATCGAAAATGTATGTTAAAGCATTAATTAATAATATATATATTACACTATCCATGCAAGCTGTCAATTTAACAATTGATGACTACCTCCATTACATAAAAAAACTGTCCCAGTTTCACACATGGTATTACTATAGTATTGAAATGTCTAGAACTGGCACCATTCAGTCCCTCTTTAAGTGAACAATATTCCAGATGTGTCATGAGAGACATCAAGAATTTGTTTCACACATTGTTCCCATGTAGGGCATTGAACCTGGATTTTTAGCGCAATGAGCAGGCGCCTTCACCAATAGACCAACCCTCTGCCACCATTAGATAAAGTACTATGTATCCTCTTCAGGTGACTATGCTTTAAGAGAACATGGCAGCATGCCCGGACATAAAATGAACATTTCTCATCACTTCCAAGTGGGAAATTATGCTGAAACTTCTAAAATAAAATTAATCTCGCTTGGACCAATGAGACAAATGTCTAAGGAACTGAATTAGCGGTGGCAATAATTTTAATTATATCAATACAAATATTTGTGTATAACGTAGAAAATGAAAAGAGAAAGGGTTAATTTTCAAAATGTCTTTTAACACAACTGCCCTAAATTTTAAAAGGATTCTAAGGATAAAGTATGTAAATATTTATCCACAACATGTTTAAACTGATAATTCATTCTGAAGTGTTGATTACCGACCCAAGTGCAGTCGGTATCAAGTGTAACGTTCCTACCACAGACATGACACAGTTAGTTTTAGAACATATAGAAAGCAGTTTAAATATTTACTGACCCAAATAGTATTGTATGACATCTCCATACACAGGAAAATGTGTATTGCTACACCATCAAAGAGACAATACTTGCGTTTATTACCCAAAGACGTAGAAATAACCAAGTTCATGAAAATTGTCTGTGCACAAGGGCAAATATCACTTCACAAGCAACAGTGTATATTTTACATGCTCCAGACAGAATTGTTGACACCCTTCGAATCTTATTGTGACGTAAGGTATCAAACTCGGTGTCAAAGTTATGCTCCTGAAACAAATGCTACACGTTTTTCAGTCAAGTCCAGTTTGTTGCCATGGAAACATCAAAAATACTTTTTTAGAAATACCAACACTCCAGTTCAGCATGTGTTTGATACATATGCAAAGTTTTGTAATAAATTATTTTACAGTTTCCAAGTTATCTTCCGGAAACAAAACATGATGGTGATGGATGAACAAATAAACGGACGGAAGGATGACACCCATTCCTATATCCCCCTCCCACTTCATGACGGATGGATAACTATATTATATTGCATTGAACATGGAATGTGCAGCAGCAGGACTGGCCATGCTTGCAAATTGATTCGGGACTGGTTTCTATGCATTTGTCACAACATTACCTGGAGAATATGGAACACATTTTTTTATGCTTAACAAATTTCCTGTCAAAATAATTTGGAATATTTTTTTATTATTAACAAACTTCTGACTTATCTGTCATTGGTTGGTTTAATTTCTCATTTTAAAAACAGAGTAATGTATGCAATCATTTTACAAACAGAAATATATTCAAATAAGTTTTATGTTTTAGAGATCTTAAAGAAACATATTAAAACAAAATTGTTTCACAGATCTTTAAAAAAATTTGAAATATTATTTTTTATTAAAAAAAATCTGACTTATCTGTTATTGGTTGGTATTAATTACTACATTTTACAAACATGGAAAAATGTATAATTATTTTACAAACAGAAATATTTCAAGCAGGTTTTTTGGTTTTACAGATCTTCTGTCAAAATAATTTGAAATATTGTTCTTTTTTACAAAATACCAACTTATCTGTAATTGGTTGGTATTAATTCACCTCATTTTACAAACAAAGAAACATATACAATAATTCTACAAGTTTTTATTTGTTTGTTGTTAAACTCCCCACTCAGCAATATTCCAGCTATATGACAGCTCTACTAACATAGACATGTATTCAAACATTTATTTTTATGTTTTACAGACCTGTGTAAATAATTGTAAATATTATTTTTGTAAGTAACAAAATTCTCACTTATCTATCTTTGATTGATTTTAATTTACATTTTACAGAAATATATTCAATGAACTGTTATTGTATACAGAAACAATTGCATACATATTTAAATGTTATAATTGTTTAAATTGTATTTTTCTGTATTTGAATTCTTTCTCTATATTAATGGGAACAAGAAAAAAAACAATTGTTGAATAATGACACTGAGCGTTGGTCAACACATGGTGCAGCTTACATGCACAATCATTGCTCCGTGTGCAAGAAAGTCAGCAAGGAAAATGCACCACGCTGCGCAGTGTGAAGAACACTTAAAGTTTTCTTCTATAAGTGCATCCTGTTGAGGAGCTGGAGGCTGTCAGGATAATCCCTGTTAATGCAAAACCCATCTTGCATGCTACATTGCATACACCAATGGGTCACATGCCATTTCAGCCCTAGCGGAACACTGAACCGTTCGCTTAGAAACTACACAGGATAATCCGAGGTCACACACAAGTCCTTCAGAATTGGCCCTTCATAAACACAGGATTTGTAGATATTAATAATCATTTATGGGCAAGTGTTTTCCCTGGGGTCCTAACAGCCCAAATGTATTGCTTCATATGTAACAAAGCATGAAAACGCACCTGTCAACATCTCACATGGAGACCTGAAATATGTCATCTGTCAGTGATATCGCTCCATGATAATTTGGGTGGCCGGTCGATTTGTTAAAAAACACTCAAGATTTTAAGCCAAGACAGACTGCATATGGCACACGACATAATAAATACCCTTGTGAAATGATCTATGTCATAATATGCCTCATAAGAACCTGGCATTTTTCTGTTAATACAATCAAAAAATCAGCATTATTACTTTTTCGTATTTTTTCACTCAGGCTTCAACATATGGAGATAGAATAAGACAATGTTCAATAACCAGGCCAAGCTCTGACTTATGTAACCTTAAGCTTTTTAAAAAAGGGATTCAATCATGCTGGTGAGAATCCTGGCTCATTGCAAAGCACCCAACAAAGTTTCAGGGAATACGAATGAACATTCAGAATTGTTCAGACAAATGGTCATGATATGACGCCTTGAAATCATTCTCGGATAATTTGCAGATTTTATTATCTTCAAGCAGCTGTTGAGACGAAAGATGTCTGCGATCATGAAGTGAAGACGTTTTGATAGCATCAAGATATGGGAGTCTGGTTGATAGGGAGGGGTCATTGCAGATGGAAGTTAGATTGGGAGGGATCATTGCAGATAAAAGTAATACCAATGGTGGTATTTTCTGCTAACTTACTTTCCCAATTGCAACAAGAGATGGCATCAAACAGAGGTGTGGCTTCCTATACATTTTACATCAAATACTTATTTTAGTAAAACATGTTCTGACATCATCGTCATATCTGGGTGTTGACTTGAAATGATACACTTCAACACAACTGTAGGAAAAGAGAAATTAACTTCAGCTGATCTCATACATCACCAACTATTAGCAACCATTTCAGGTAGTCCCTGGGGGCACGGGGGGCCCAGTCGTCTAGGCGCCACGATTCGCTGTGCAGAGTTGCGTCCGTTGGGCACGCCAGAAACCTTTGATTGTGGGTTCGAATCCCAGTTCGCCCCGATTATGTTTCTAGGTTTGTCAGCACCATACCCGTGCTCATGGGTTTCGCCAAAGTGATAGACGTCTGAGACCTGCATCACTTCAGGCTTTCCTCACACATTAAGCTGACACACCGTGATTTTAACTGGAAAAATGTTAAATGCGGCGTTAAACCCAGCTCACTCACTCACTTTGGTACTCCCTACAGACTTTGTGACAATACAGGGACATAGTATTGTATCATGATACACATCTACATGATACAGTAAGGTACAAGGGCCATATCTTATGCAATACACACAAGAAACATCGCCTTTCATACAGAGAACAATGGCTGTGAAAGTTAGCTGGGACTGTGCATCTCACAGTGGACAACAGAAACCTTAAAATGATTTAA